GATACACAACTTTTTGTCCAATTTTTACTTTTTCCGGTTTTTTCTTATTCATGTCAAACCGAACTTTCATCTTTTCTGCATTTTCTCTCGATCTCTCCTCTGCAAACTTGCGCAGTGCTTCAATATTTTCTTAAACTGGTTCTATGTCAAACCCTTCGACTAATGCGCTAACTTTCGGTGATTTGCCATCAATACTTGTTAGTAGTTTTAATGGTGAAAACCCGGTTGTTTTATTAATTGTGGTATTCAAAGCCAATTGGACTCGTCCTACAAAAACGGTCCATTCAAAACTATTTAGGGCATTCGTTCTTAATAAATTAGACACGGTATCAGCGTAATGTTTCACCTGTCCATTTACTCGACTACTACCAGAAGCTATGAGATGATGTTCAATGCCCATTGCTGCACAAAGCTTCTGAAAACCTTCACTTGTGAAGCAAGTTCCTCGATCACTCACAACTTTATTTGGAACACCAAAAATTGTGACATAGTCTAGAAATATTTGTACCGTTTCCGCCGCTTTCAAAGTCTTGGTAGGTCGTAAAATAACAAACTTTGTAAACGCATCAATCAGTATAACTATAAATCTGTATTCGCCAGCCATATGTTCATCAAAAGGTCCCATAAACTGTCTAACATGTTTAACAGTAGTCGGTATTGGAGACCGTACCAACGCATCAATTTTTGTTTTACTCGGCTGGATACCATAATCAGAAATTTCTCGGCCTAAATATTCGATCGATGATTGTAGAAACTTACATTTTTGTAAGTTCAACGAAAAACCATTTTTTGTTAAGGCTTCAAGTACCAAATCCAGATTCTTTAATCCTTCTTCTACCGTTTTTTCTTCTTAACACGTACCACTGGACTAGCAAAAGGAGAATTACTATCTCGCACTATACCATTGTTTTTTAATTCTGTGACAATATCCAAAATGATTTTATGTTCACACGGCGCCATACGAGTAAATGTTAACATCTTTTGAAAGACGGATATTTAAAGATCCCGTAAGTACGGTAGTAGTAGGAAAACCTTTAATAAAGCTTTTCGAATATTTATTTATAACATTTTCCTTCAGACATTAGAGGTAATCTTTCTGTACCATAACTTGCGACGCATTTAGACACCATAATACGACGAAGAGTAGAACCCTTAATGTCTTTAATTATCACTGATATGTCGCGTGCATCTGAAACAGTCGTCAGGCAAAAATTTATGCTCTTGCGTTCTTTGTCAAATTTATTCACGACATTCATTGGTTTAGCCACATGATTTTGTTTTTTATTAAGTTGGGAACATTGCATTCTTATATGCCCAAGTTTTCCACAACCGAAGTACCTTTTCTCACTGTCATTTTTAAAACATTCGTTTTTAACAATTGAATATTTAAATTTCAACTTAATTTTCTTCAATTTCTCAATTGTATTAAAATAACTGAAATTAGGTATTATCCCACTTCTGATGTTAGAGAAAAAGTCTTTTAAAAATCCGTTTCTGCAATGCTCTGTGCAGTATCACTGCCTCACTCACTTCCTCTTTCTGAAGTAACTGCTATCTTCACATACACAGACCACATTTTGACAAGTAGGGTAAACAGACGTAGCCTACTATCTGTCAATCATTTATAAGGTGACCATATGTCAACAGGGTGACTCGTCTCTAACATATATATTATATTTTATATATATTATTTTATATATCTTATATAAAATAATATCTTCATTAATTTTAAGCATTAAAATATATTAATTATATTGAAATGATTATCTACGTGATACTCAACTACAGAACGTAAACGATATTCTATCAATAAAAGCTGGGTAATCAAATCGAAAGAAGAAGCGACATAATTATTTAAAAAAAATATGATTTTTACGCTAGGATGTAGTAAGCAAGGAATGTAGACATTTTCCTCTTCGAGATGTGTATTCGCAATATTAGAAGATTCCTTTAATTTTAAACAATAAATCGAAAGCTTTAAATCTTTTAAAGTAAAAGGAAATCAATTTTTCATGCATTTCAACAATATAAGAGTACTTTCAAAAATTTTCAATTTTAATTAGTTTTTTTAATATTTTTAATTTTATTTTGAAATCGCAAAAAGCAACGGGCTTAGTCTCCACGTAGTCGTACGGAGGAAACAGAAATTGGCATGAATTTTAACTTTTATTAACTCAAATAACGAAATATATATAAATAAAAATAATTATCGAAATATGAAACTGCAATTTCGATGGCAAAAAGAGATTGTCAATTACATGGTTTTTGGCGACTTGCTTCCATTGGCGGATGTTTTCGTTCGGTTGTTGCATGTCGAAACACATTAAAAATAACAGCAGCAAAACACAAAAGCTTTTACTTTGTGAATATGATATGAAAATATAATAATTCCAATAACAAAAAAGAAATCTGAATCTAAAAAGGAACTGCATGAACTTGCATGTTTGCGTTATTTCAACAACAGTAAAGTACACAAAGTTTATTGTTTTTTTTTATATTTCTACATCATTAAAATTGAAAACCAAAAACCAAAACCTAAAACCTTAAATGCAAAAATGAAACAACACAAAACGCAAAATGAAGTAAATCACTTCAATACTTCAATTCACCTCAACTCCACACACAACAAAATATAACGCAGCAAAAAAAAATCAGCTTAGCTCACCCCATTTAAAATCAAGTCAACAACAACAACAGTACAGTTACAGCAGCAACAACAACAATAACATAAAACCAATTTAGTGATTTTGTGCAAATAAATTTTCTGTAAAACTTTTGTAAACAATAAATTGAATAAATTAGTTGTTTTGCTTTAATTGTTTTTGTTTCTACGTTTTTATGTTTTTTTTTTTGTTTACGTGATTTTGTAATGTGAAGTTTTTTTTTGTTGTTTCTGCTTTTATTGAAAAAGTACAAATAAAATTTGTAGTAAATTGAAATCAACAGCGAAACGCGTATTATGATTGGTATAAATTTGGAGAGTCAGCTAACATAATTGTTTATACTACATTTGTTTACGCTACAAAGTGTGTTCGTGTGAGTGCATAAGTTTATTATGTATTTGTTTGTAATATGAACACACCAAATGTGAAAAGCGAGACTCCGCCTAATTTTAATAGTGGCCCAATCATTCACAATTCACCACCATATTTTATACTGTTGCCAGTTTTTGTTGTTGCTATCAATATTGGTTTTATTTGTACAATAATTGTTTTCATATCGCTTTTTCTCTTTCTTGCATACATAAATTGCGGTTGGTTGATTAAATTTCTGGTTTTTCTCTTTTTTATATATGTGTTGTTAAAAAAAAGAATTTTTTTCATTTTGTATTTTATTTATTACTCTCGCTCGGTTTGCCCTTTTTTTGTTTTTTTTTGTTTTGGTGTGTTGTGTTTATGGCGATTTGTTCGGACGCTCGTTAACTTGTTTTCTCCTCATTGTTAGCTGTTGACTGCCTTGTTACCACTTTAATCACAAATAAACAATGCGCAAGAACAATCAAAAAAGAGCATAAGCATTGATAACTGGCATTGGTACTGGCATTGGTACTGGCACTGGCTCTTGCACTGCCATAAAGCGAAAAGAACAACAGACCACTGCTGGGATAACTAACTACTGACGACAGTTAATGGAGGTACATGATGCCTGCAAGGAGTAAACTTGTTCTTATTTCTTTGATATTTTGTTTTTTTTTGTTCTGTCTCTGTGTACACATAATTAGCTTCGCCAACAACGAACTCTTCGTCCTTACATTCGTTAAGTATGCGAATGTCGCAGGCTCTGCTTTCCGTCGCCATTTATGAAGGTGTCTCTACTGGTATAAATAACTTAAACACATGCTTCTTCTTCTTCTTCGTCTTCGTCTTCTTCTGCTTTTTGTGTCTTACCTTGCATTTTGCTGTCCGGTGCACGTGCGCTACAACAAACTGCTGAGTTGAAGCGAAACACGTTAAACAACGTCTAGCAATGTAAAGTAAAGTAAAGTCAAAAGTAAAGTGAACGAAAGCTCTGTAAAAATAGTTGCATTCGTATTATAAGCATGTGTTCGTATATTTTGTGCTGCGTCTACATGCGGCTACATTGGAGAGTGTGTGTGTGTGTGTGTGTGTTTGTTTTGTTGGAGTGTTTTAACTAACAAGATTATGAAAACGTAAAATCATCTGTAAATCGCTAAAACGATTGTAATTTTGTTTTTCAACACCTCGCTGAGCACTGCTGCTCATTTGTGCATTTGTTATTTGTTCTCACTTGCTCACTGGCTTACTCGCATGCTTATTTGTTTGGCGTTCGTTTGTCTCTCAGCAGCTTCAATACCATTTAAGCATTGTTACTGCGCTGTACTGTGCTGTGCTGTGCTGTGCTGTGCTGCGCTGTGTTCTTCTGTGCAGTGCAGTCGAGGGTTAGAAGTGGTGAATTGGAGCTTTTTGGTTTTATTGTAGTTCAGCGTCGTCGTCGTCGTAGTCGTAGTCGACGTCGTCGTCAGTTGGTCTGTGATTTCAGCGTTCCTTGTTTATTGTGTCGACGTTTGGTGGTGGTTCAGTGAGATTTTCGCGCACAAATCAAAAAGTACCACAAACATTTGCCATTAAACGAAGACATGAGCGCTGTTGTTTCGCTCTTTCATTGATTTATGGAAACGTTTTTGCCGACGCGTCTTTACATGATGTCGGGCGAATTATTACAGAACGTAGAACTTAAACGCAATCTAAACAAAAGTATCTAAATTAACTGTGGTTGTGCAAAAAAATTAACAATTTAAATATAAATATAAGAAAAAATAATTTAAATCAAATTTGTCTAAAATTTTACATTTGTGATAATTAATTATTAAGCAAAAAAAAATAAAAATAAATACTTACTTTATTTCATATATGCAAAAAATTGTGCAATAAAGAATAAATTTCAGAAATATTTAAGCAAAAAACATAAAAGTGTAGATCGCATGTCGGTACTTTTCGAGCGCGTCCGCATCGCATAACAGATGCATTCTCGAACTAATTATGCCCAGGCCTTCACGTGAATCGTACGGCGACCAAAAGCCCCCATATTCATATATTTCGCTTACAGCCATGGCCATTTGGAGTTCACCGGAAAAGATGCTCCCACTAAGCGACATCTATAAATTCATAACAGACCGTTTCCCCTATTATCGCAAGAACACGCAACGCTGGCAAAACTCACTGCGTCACAATCTTAGCTTTAATGACTGTTTCATAAAAGTTCCAAGACGTCCAGATCGCCCCGGCAAAGGCGCTTACTGGACACTGCATCCTCATGCATTTGATATGTTTGAAAATGGCAGTTTATTACGTCGAAGAAAACGTTTCAAATTACATAAAAATGACAAAGATCAGCTAAATGAAGAGCTAGCAGCACTTGCCAATCTAAATCGCTTCTTTTTTACCGCGAATACCACGCACGGTATGCCCCCAATGCCACCAATGGATATGTCAACTGCAACACTGATGGGTGATCCCACATTGTATATGGCAAGAATGCCGCCGGCTGCACCTTCACACTCTCCGCCTGCTTTTTCACATCAGCATAGAAACACAATTTCCCCTTCAACATTGGCAATGCACACTGCATTAGCGACATCGGCCTCAATGGCATGTGTTACTAATACATCTGTTCTCTCACCACACACAACTGCTTTAGATGCCGCTATGATCAGCAGTTACCGACCGAAACGTTCGTTTACAATAGAAAGTCTTATCACACCCGATAAGCCCGATTCGATATCAGGTGAAAGTCTAAATGGTGACGATCGTACAGATATTGACGTGGTCGACAGTAGCAGTGTAAATGCAGATGAGGCACCATATCGTCTATTAGATACTCCTGAAAAACATTGTCGTTCACCTATAACCGGCATCAATTCTAGCACTGAAGATCAACGACAAAGACCGCTGCCACCACTGCATACCATCACAGCAGCAGCAAATCTACCCTTCCTGCATTATACAACTGGCGTTAATGTCAATAATACGAACTTGATGTCAAGTCCAAATGGACCTGCTCCACCTCCGACTTATGAATTGCCTGTTCATCCGTTACTTATGATGACAGCACCAATGGGTAATCTGCATCCATCATACTATTCAAATTTAAGCATGTCTACGGCTGGTTCTCATCATCCCGCCGATGTACAACACAGACTACGTACAGTGTAGTCCCACGCTATGTCCCTGAGTTGCTTCAATTATGCAGGGACATTTGAAGGCTGTCTAGTTCCTCATCAATGAGATGCTGTAATTATATATTTTGTATGTATTAATTGATATATGTTTATATATATGTATCTTTGTACGTCCTGTAATTTAGTTAGTTAATTCTATAAATCAGAAATTTTAGACTAGTATTCGTAAGTAATACATAACAATACATATATGTTCCTTGTGTAAGTAGGTGAGATTTCTGCAATTCCTTAAGAATATTTGTTTATTTTTTCTGGACAATATCCATTTACTTTTTATAAAGACATTTTGACATTTATTATTTGTGTATATCAAGTCCATTTTAAAGAATTTGTATAAAAAATATAATTCAAATGCAGAGTTTTAGAATTTCGGTTGAAAGGAAAATAATCGATAGAATATATGAGTACATTTTATATGGACTTCATTATTCAAAGTGCAATATGTCCTTCAAAACAAAGCTATCCATGCATCTCTATTATCTATACCGTATTTCACAAACTTAAATTTTAACATAAAATGTCCTATCCAGTAAAACTATCTAAACTCAAGCCTTTAATTAATTTATTAATTAATTTAATAAATAAATTAAATTATAATTTTTTTTGTTTATCTTTTTCTTATTATATATGTTTTATATATATGATATAATATCATATATAATACAATATATGGTATTTCACTAATTCTAATATCAAGCTATCGGCTATCGGCTATTGCTTATAGCTATTGTTTATTTGTTTCTTCTTATATTTGTATTATGTATATGATATAATATCATATACAATATTTGGTTTTCTACTAATTCTATCAATCTATCGGATCATATATTGATCCGATAGATCAATATTAATTGCCGTCCTTGCAATTAATTGACAATGACACTTCCGTCGAATGCCGTTCACACTTATCAGTTCATTATCCTTCTATAGACCTATTTCCTAGGCCGACTTTTACATATTGAATACCATAAATAGAATTTCTTTAGTAGCTTTTATATTTCTACTCTTATATTTTCTATGTCTATCGTTCTCTCTGTATCATAGCCGACACCGCAAACTATTTGCTGCTTTGAGGGTTTCAGATTAAATATTACTTGGTGATGCTTGGGATTGTTTTGTTGAGTAGTGGTCGCTCTTCTTTTTATTTTGTTTAAGTATCCATTAATAATTTATATGAAAATCAATTCGACTATGATAAATTAATTAATTTTTAACAATATTTGTTTCGGAATTTGTAAATCTGGTAAATACTAGGCCATACATTTTATGCCATTTTGAAATTAGGTTGCCCAATAAACCTTTAGATAAATTTTCAGAAACATAATATATCCCAAATTATTTACACTGCTTTTAAAAATATATATATATATATATGTACAACCAAATTCCCGTCTCTTAAAAAAGGTAATTATTTTTAAAAACTTCTTAGTTTAATAAAAATAATGTATTATTGAAAACGGAAGGTTTGAACAGTTCCAATAACTTTTAAAAATGTTTCATTGAGCAACAGCGGTACCTCGTTATACATGACAATATATTAACTTATATTTAACTTATAGAAATATTATATATTTAACTTTTTTCTGGCTTAAAGAGATCTATCTGTCTATAAGTTTTCTTCCTAGCTATGCCACTAATGAAAATATGGTAAAAACATTATGACGGTTTTATGAATAATAGTTTTTGTATAAGCTTTAATGTGAACTCCTGAAATGATTTTGGGGCTTAGTATAATATTCTATATTTCAAATGTTGGTAGAGTTTTACCGATATAACTATATAAGTGACATCAATATTAATGATATATTATCGCTATTACTAAGTGCTACAAACCAGTATAAGTCGTGGGATATTCTATATAGTCTTTCGCCATAATTTTCTTTTTCTGTGTCTTATATACACTATGTTGTACTCAAAAAATTTTCAATTTTGGTGATCTGTATTCTTTGTAAATATTAATAACTTGTTAGTGTAATAAAATAGGATTGAGTCATTTGTGAACTAGAATGCTCTACAAATAACATTGCTCACCGGTATTTCTATATTCTAATTAAGTTTAACGAACGCTTGACTTTCTCTCAAATTCCTTTTGAGTTTTTAACAGATTTTGTTGGTTTTACTTATACGGTACTTATAAGATGGATTATAAGTACTATATGTATATATATTATATTCCAAAATTACTTTCAATTCTTATATAAATTTTATTTTGATTTTTACTGTTTAGAATATTTAATCACAGTATTTTTTTTGTGACAATGAAAAGATATTAACAATTAGAATTAGTTTAAGTCACATGCCTATGAAATGATCTGGAGATTAAATTGTATAGAGTTTTTGCTGCAATCGTATAATATTAAAAAAGTATTTCCGTTCGAAGAAATATTTTTTAAATACGTTATATGGAATAAGTGATAAAGCTTCTTCTTTATTTAGTGAAATTGTTGTAGTTTACTACAAACCTACAGTTTCGGGGTTCTCAAAAATTGCAAGACACAGAACAAATTGAAATTTGACACAGAATATGAAAATTTTTATATCACAGTTATGTAAACTATTTAATAAATATTTAATAGAGAGTTTTCGAATAGTATTGAACTGCAACAACAATTTTTATTTGATCGCTTAATTAAATTATAATTCAGTACTGTTTGAAACTTCTCTATTAAATACATAAGTTTCTATTAAGTAAAATAGTCACTACCGTTAAAATCAACTTTAATATAAATATTTAATAAAATAACGTTGACGAAAATTTTAAATTTACTCTAGTTTATCTAGTTTAGAATTTAAGAAAAGAAGAAGATAGAAAATATACCTACATGGAAAAATATTAGAAAAATAAACGTTTATATTAAACACAATCTACCTTTTTGTGGGGCACAGCTTCCTTTACAGAGCACAGTTTAACAAACGCTGTTTTAGATGGAATCCCTTCAGTGGATTCTCAGTTACCATAAAATTTAAAGACTCGATCTTGTTCTTCTATATGTTCTTCTAGAATGTTTGCAATACCCGTGTATAACAAAGTCAATAATCACTATAACATTAACTCGCATAGACACTGTTTCAGTTTTATGTGATTTAAGTTCTAATCAAGAATTAGATGACATCTGAATTGTAACAGGTTAATTTCAATATAAATAAAGACCGAAATATAAAGTAAATATTGTGTTATGATATGTTTTGAAATATCAGCAAAGAGTATGAATTAACATGTGCCAAGAAGTAGACAATTTTTCTAATAGTAGCAGAGGTCATATTAGACCTAATTAGAAGTCTAACAAGAAATTATGGCAAGTTGGAAAATTAACTGCATTATTTAAAAAAGCCCATTTAAAGACACATCTGAATATGATCAGTATTAGTTTCGTGTTACTCTATTAATCTACAACAATGTATTAAGTAACTGTGGTAGAGGTTACAGATCTCACAACCACCACTTCCGTGAAAAATTTTAGTATTAATGATTCTGTTTTTTATAAAACTCTTAACCAAATGTTACAAACTTTTGAAGATTCCTTTCTTTTATTGGTTGATTATCATTAAGAAGCAGCTAACGCACCTATAGCAAGTATATTTTAGTTGCTTAGCCGGTGATATTGAAAATTTTGACCAAAACTCAGTACCCAAAGACCTTTTAAGAAAAAGCAAGCATATTATAATTAAAGCATTTCTGGTATATATTCCAAAAAATTCATTTTCAATTAAAACTACCATTGTTCAATGCGTTTCATCACATCTCAAATAGAAAATTTTGCAATCTATATTTTTTAATTTATTATATTCGAAAAATAACACATACGACCCAGTCATTCCCACAGACACACTAAGCAATATGCAATACTAATGGTGTCGTCTTGAGCCGAAAAAAAATTGAATTTATTTAAAATATCTAATTGATCTAAATAGTTATCTAAGTTTAAATTATATAGTATTCTCTCGACAATCCGGATAATTACATTCGAAGATGTTTCCGGATTTACATATGAACTACATATGTCTAAATTACAAATAGATTTTTGTTTTTACCTATAATCCTAGAAACTCTTCTTAATATATTATATATCAGGCCTTTGTGAGTACACAATAATACGTGAGTTTTGTGTTGAAAGACATCCCCCCTTAAATTATTTTGGGATACATTAGATGTAACGTATTTTCTTTTTTTCAATTAACTCCCTTAAAGTTTCCACATGAACTTTAAACTAGTTTTTAAAGGCCCTCCCTTAAATGATTCCTTGTATAAACTTTATTCGCCAAACAATTCATCTTCTGTGTTTCTTTATATAAAATATATCACACGAGCGCAGAATAAATTAAAATTAAATAAATAAAATAAAAGTTAAGATTAGTTTTAGAATAAGTTTTAATAGATGCAATTATTGGGTGTCCGAATTGTAGAAGTATGAACTAAAACTGTCAGGAAACACTATTGTGCGTTGAACAAGTTCGCTATTTGCCTCACAGCAATAATTATATACTTAAAAACGGCATGCCTCAATATACACAACTTGCTGTTCTGGTATTTTATTTGTTTTGTATAATACTTTCATTTTGTAGACGTTCATTACTTTGTTCATGAGCAATTAATTTCATTTTTATTTGTTTTTTGTTTTTTTTTTTGGAGTAAGTGGGAAGCATCGAAAGCCAGAGTTTGAAACTTGAACCTACTAAAACTACCAATTTATCAACTACCAATAATTTAATTTTTCTTTTTATTTTTAATTATACTTTCTTTTGAGGGGTAGGTGAAATGCTTCGAAATACATCAAAACTACCACTTCGTAACTAGTTGAGATAATCTCAGGCATCAGATTCTGGAAGAATTTCGGCTGAAATCACATTCCAGTATTTTGGGGGTGAAGTTATAAGAGGCGTGGTCCTTGTATTTCCCTTCGTTGCAGTTAGGAAGAAGACTTTACTTTTTTATCTTTTTTTTTTTGTTTTTATAAGGTATTTAAAAGAACAATT